TTCGCTTTCCCTTCCCCTTGTCCTTCTCCTTCTCTTTTTCTCCTTCTCCTTCTCTTTTTCTCCTTCTCCTTTCTCCTTTCTCCCTCTTCTCCTCTTTTTCTCTTTCTCCTTTCTCTTTTCTCCTTTTCCTTTCTCCTCCTTCTCCTTTCTCCTCCCCCTCTTCCTTCTCCTTCTCCACCTCCATTCCTTCCTGAAGGAAGCACCCTGCCAACAGGTGCTCCATGGCTGCTCAGACCCTGCTATGCCACGTGTCCCCCACACCCCACTGCAATGGGCACCCGCTGGGAGCACCCATGGTTGCCTGGGAACCCAAGACAGCCCTTTACCTTATGCACCAGGCTTGGAGCTGAGGACGTGTCCCCTGTGGTCCCTGACTGCTCCATCCCTGGGAGCTTTTACCACAAAGGGGACAGTTTACTGGTATGCAGTGGGGTGGCTGTGTGGGAGCGTGCTGGGAGCACGTGGGGAGGGGAAGGGGCTCAGCTGATCTCTGCGTCCGTGGGGAGGAAGCTGGGGGCGGGAGGCAGCCTGGGTTTCCCTCTGGGGCAGAGATGGGCACGTTTCATTTCCACCCCAGCCTCTGCTGTGCGCACCGGAGAACAACCAACCGCCGTGGGGAAGGAAGCAGAGCGAGAGCCGGGGGCGGCACGGCACGGCCTGGCACAACACCCTTGCCCGGGCTCACCCTGGCCCCGGGTACCTTGAAGACGACGTGGGGCAGCGTGGAGATGGCCCTGGCTGGGGTCTGCATGGCCCTGCTCTGCTGCGGCCCCGTGCTGGCCAGCTGCCGCCACGGTAGGTACCGAAGCGTGGTGTGCTCGTGGCACAGCCCATGCCCTTCACCAACGGTGGAAAATGTCTAAGGGCTGCGAGCTTTGTAGTTAAAAATAGCTCTGGCATCAGGAAGGCACGAAACCCGAAGCTTCTGGGTACGTGTGGCTGGAGCGAGGGAGATGGAGAGGGTCGGGGTGAAGGGGTGGAGAAAGGGACATGTCTGCAGCCTGTGGTGCTGGCACTAGAGCTGCATTGTGGGCAGACTGGCCACAGTCTGAGGTTTGTTGTTGAGCCTCTGGGATTGCCAGCACCATGTGGTGCTCTAGTCTGCTCTGGTGAGACCGCACCTGGAGTACTGTGTCCAGCGCTGGAGCCCTCAACACAGGAGGGACATGGACCTGTTAGAGTGAGTCCAGAGAAAGGCCACAAAAATAAATAGAGGGCTGGAACACCTCCTCCTGTGAGGCCAGGCTGAGAGAGCTGGGGTTGTTCAGCCTAGAGAAGAGGAGGCTCCACGGAGATCTCCCAGTACCTGAAGGGAGCCTATGGGAAGGCTGGGGAAGAACTGGTTACAAGGGAGAGGAGTGATAGGAAGAGGGGCAATGGTTTTAAACTAGAGTGGGGTAGATTTAGATTGGACATTAGGAAGAAGTTCTTTGTTATGAGGGTGGTGAAACACTGGAACAGTTGCCCAGAGAGGTGATAGAAGCCCTATCCCTGGAGATATTGAAGGTCAGGCTTGGTGGGGCTCTGAGCAATCTGATCTGGTTGAAAATGTCCCTGCTTACTGCAGGGGCTTTGGACTAGATGACCTTTGAAGGTCCCTTCCAACCCAAAGCATTCTGTGATTCTGCGATATGTGGGGTCTGGGTTTTTCTGCTCTGTCTCTCACAGCTTTGGGCTGCACCCTCGTGTTGGACTTGACCCTGAGGGAGCCAGGGTCCTGTGTGTGATTTGGGTTAGGTTGAAATCTGGGGGAGAAGGGGAAGTGGAAGAGAAGGAGTGAGTCTGGGCAGAGTGAGTGAGAGCCCCGCTGAAGCCATGTCTCCTCTTCCTCCTAGCCCAGTTCTTTCTATGGTGGCATCTGGTGTTTTCTGTTGTGAGGGTGGGCACAGGGCTGGGCATCCCTTGGAACATGTGTTACCTCTGGTGCTGGGAAGATGCAGAGAAATGTGTAAACCCAATCTGCTTTCAGAAGTCCTCTGAGCACTTCATTCACTGCTGGCAGCAGCACTGGATAGGAAGCAAAGCCCCGAGCTTGCTAAACATTTCTTGTTAAACTCAGAAAACCCAGAACACAGCAAAAATTACATCTCTTGGTGTGGGCACTGTTGCAGCCAGTGCTTCCCACTGTTGCCAGGGCACTTCCCTCCCTCCCTCCTGTTTGGTCTCATGCCTCATTTCTCAGCCCAGTTTTCCATCTAATCCTGTATCTCTTCAAGGAATCCCAGGTGATTGTCATGGCCCTCTGGCCTCAGGCCAGTGCTGGAGGGATGTGAGGGACTTTCTAGATCTGCCTGAAAGCTCTGAGACTGCTATTGGTGGTAAAATTTGAAAAGGGAAGATAAAATTTCTTAACAGTAGGGACTTCATAAAGTATTGGTGGTTTGAATTGCTTGGTCAAAGAATCATAGAATGGTTTGGATTGAAAGGGTCCTCTAAAGGTCATCTAGTCCAACCCCTCTGCAGTGAGCAGGGGCATCTTTAACCATTTCAGGTTGCTCAGAGCCCAGTTCAACCTGACCTGAAATGTTTCCAGGGATAGGGCAGCAACCACCTCTCTGAGCAACCTGGGCCAGTGTTTCACCACTCTCATTGTAAATATTTCTTCCTTCCATTCTCCATTGTAAAAAATCTCTTCCCATGTGAAAAGTGCTTTTTCCTGCTTTTTGTTACTCTCAACAAAAGTTAATGCAGCAGCTGGGTGTCTGGCTGTCCACTGACACACGAGGAGGGGACAGGCAGCTGGGGAGGACAACATCCCCTGTTACCCGTTCAGGGTAGTGCTCTGGTCACTTTCCAAGGGCAGGAATTATTTCAGTGATATAAGGAGGGTTATCTAGATAGTGATAGGAAACGAAGGAGAATAATATTTCTTGTTTAGGTTCTTGTAGACAGGGGTCTTGCTTTTTTCTCTATTTTATAGGCACACCAATCAGTAAAATAATAAAACACCACAATCAGTAGAGCAGAAAAGGCCAGATGATAGTCTGATCTGTTAAAAAAAGGAATTAAATGCTCATCCCTTATAAGATAGCCATAAAAATGGCTAAATAGCCAGAAAGCAATGCCTTGGCTGCAGGTGCTGCCCACCCCGGGACCTGCTTCCTCTGCTTGCTTTTAGAGGCAACATCAGCTGGAGGAAAGCTGACTCATACATTAAAATATGGTGTAGAGTTAAAAATAGTACAACCCCCAAAGTCTGTTTTGCCCAGTGCAGGTGTCCTGAGTTAAATTTAGATAGCCCAGAGCACAAGTTGCTCTGCTGAAATCACATCATGGTAGAGTTGCTACACCTGAGCATGTCCGTCTGACCAGCAGGCAGACACTCAGGAGGGGAGATACATGGGCTGGTGTCCCTGGGGTGATGCTTTGGGCTGCCTGTGCTGCTGGCAAACCCCAGAGCCTGTCTGTGGGTGAGCCAGGTGCCAGCGGTGGTGTGGGGCTGGGCTTGCAAGTGCTTGTTGGCAAGTTTTATAAATCTCCTTAGGGGTCTTTGGGAGCTGAGGGTGAAACAGCTGAGGAATGTGTGGAACCTCTGGGTTGGGGGTGTAGGGGCCCATCACCTCTTCATGGGTTGGGGCACTATCAGGGGCAACGGGGAGCTCTCATCTTCTTTGCATCCCCGATTGCTGCCTGGGGGTATGGCTGTTTCTGAGACTTGTGCCCACTCTAACTGTGCCTGTTCCTTTTTTCCTCTCTCCCAAACAGTCACCTTCTTCCCGTCAGTGTTAACTGTCCCTGCAGGTGGGTCAGCCACCTTCTTCTGCAATATCTCCATGGAGAATGACTCTGGGTTACAGTACAGCCTCAATTGGTACAAGGAGACCCACTACAGCCAAGCCCAAAAAATCGCTGGGATCAGCCGGAACAACCGCCAGACGAAGACAGAGAAGTACCTGCTCACCAACCACGCTCCTTCCTTCAAGATTGAGATCCTGAACCTTCACCAGAATGACTCAGGCTCCTACTACTGTGGACTGATTGACTTCTCTGAATCTGTTAAAGTGCTGGAGAGCAACCGGTGCCAGCTGGTGGTTACAGGTCAGCCTGGGGGCTGAGCTGATGGGGACAGGTCATCAGTGTCATCCCCTAGTGCCATGGCTCCCAAGCACACTGCAGCACCAGGGCATAGGGAGGCAGTACCCTTCAGGGGGAGGACCTGGTGGGGATTAGGAGAACACAGCTCTGCCCTTTCCCCTCTCCTTTGCACGCAGGGTTGAGGCCCAGGGACATGGGCTTTCTTCCCCATCCATGTTGCAGCTGGATCTAGTTGTGAGGCAGGAGGTCTCCATCCTGCTAGGGCTGTATCCCCAGTGATGCTGGGGGGAGGAGGGAGTCCTTACCCATGGGTGAGGCAGGAGACCGGTGTAGGGAGCTGACTTCACCCCTGAACAACACCTCTGGGAACAGAGACTGTGTTTGGGGTGACAACCAGTGCTCAGACCCCTCAAAAAGCCAGTGTTGGTGTAGACACTTGTTGCAAAACCATGACTTGGGAGGGGCTTGTAGCCTCGTGGCACGTCAGACTGAGAGCTCATAGCAAGATCTGCCATGCCCTTGCTTGGCAGCATGGGGGCTTTGTGGGGTTGAAGGTGCCCTTTTATAAAAAGGAAGAAAACTGCATAAGTCACTGTCTTTCACAGCATCCCGGCCTGGATCAAAAGTAGTGTGTCCAGCAGGAAGAGGGAGGTGATTGTGCCCCTGCACGCAGAACTGGTGAAGCCACAGCTTGAGTACTGGGTTCTGTTTGCGGCACCACAGTATAGGAAGGACATGGAGGTGTTGAAGCAGGTCCAGAGAAGGGCAATGAAGATGCTGAGGGGTCTGGGGAACATGGCTTAGGAGGAGCAGCTGAGGGAGCTGGGATAGTTTAGTCTGGAGAAGTGGAGGCTGAGGGAAGACCTTACTGCTCTCTACAGCTACGCTAAAGAGAGCTTGGAGTGGGGTGGGGGTTGGTCTCTTCTCCCAGGTTACTAGCAATAGGACAAGAGGAAATGGACTCAAGTTGTGCCAGGGGAGGTTTAGATTGGATATTAGGAAGAATTTATTTCCTGGCAGAGTGGTGAGGCATTGGACCAGGCTGCCCAGGGAGGTGGTGGAGTCACCGTCCCTTGAGCTGTTCACAAAACACATGGATGTGGTACTTCAGGACATGGTTTAGTGGCCATGGTAGCCTTGGGTTGATGGTTTGACTTGATGATCTTGGAGGTCTTTTCCAATATTAATGATTCTGTGATTCTATGATCTCTTCCTGGTGTGAGCTGATGCTGTGCTGGCCCCACCACGTGGATGTGGTGAGGAGGCTTGGGGAAGCTATGTCCTCCATGGGGCTCTGCTGGGCACAGGGTCATGCTGCAGGACAGCCTGTGGGTGCAGAGCAGTGCCCTGGCCCCCTGCACCCCAAATCTCAGCACTGTGGGATCATCCTCACCACCTGCCATGGGAAGGAATGGAACATGGCCAAAACATCCCCCATGTCAGCCTAAATTCAGGGCTCCCGGAAGGAGCTGTAGTAGCCTGCCTGGGATTGGCACATGGCTCCATGCTCACCTGTTGCCTTTCACAAGGGCTATAGAGGACATTTTACACTCCTGACCTGCTGTTTTGTTCCCCCTTTTTTTTTTTTGATGGCTGTTGCAGCAGCCCCAGAGAAGTTGAATGCCACTGATGAGCCTGAGATGGAGGAAGGCAATCCCCCTGACCATATCAAGGCTGTGCTCCTGGGCATCCTGCTGCTGGCTGGGATGGTTGTGCTGCTGATATTTGGCTACCTCACTGTCACATACAGGAAAGGAGGTATGGTTCCCTGCAGGGGCTGTGTTGTGCTGAGGTGAGGGGGCTGCCAGGGAACCTGATGGGTGATGCTCATCCAGCAAACCCAGCTGGGACCTGGAGGCAGCCTTCCAGATGCCTGCAGCTCCTTGGAGTACATGGGCTGGTTCGATGTGCTAAACTCAGCAGTGACATGAGCCCGGGACAGATATATCCATGCCTAGGGGAGAAGGGTGTGTTGGGCCCTGGTCACCCTTTGCAAAGCCTCCAGACCACACGTCATGGCTCTGCACCATTCGTTAGTGTGGTGCTTTAATGCTGCATGCGAATCCCTCCCATGCACCTTGCCTGCGCACCTCTGGGACACCTCTCCTCTCTGACACAGCACTGGGCATCACCTCAGCAATGCTGCAGGTACCCAGGGAGCTATCCCGGAGGGGACCCTTGAGGAATTGCACCTCACTAATCCAAACTAAACTCTAGACCACAGATTAGTATCTCACTTGTTGTAATGCTTAGACCCTGAGTGGAGAAGGAGGAAATGTGGTGCAGTGGTTGTGGTGTCCAGTGCCCTCCCAGGAGGCTGGGGCTGGGTCAGCCCCAACCACAGATGTTCAGGCTGTCTTGGCACACAAACATCTTCTAAACAAACGTATTACTTTCCAGAGGTGCAGAAACCACCAAGTGAAAACACGCCAGCGGTGAGTTCTCTGTTTCTGACGCCCTGCTGCAAGGGAGCATCGTGGCATGGCTGGGGTGCAGAGGGTGCAGGGCCTCCCTTTATCAGCCCTTCACAAGTTTCTCACTTCTCCTGTCTTTGCTGCTGATTGATCTTTTCTGCACAGCTACAACTGCCTTTCTGCACCCACAGCACAGCCCCATCACAAAATCAAAACCCTGCCTGAGATAGGACAGGATCTCTCCAGTCCAACGCTCGCTCAAAGCACGGTTATCTTTGACAGTGCATTGTGTTGCTGTAGAACATGGGAGGAAATGTTTCTCCCCAATATATCAAGCTAAAATTTCTTTTGCTGCAACTAACGCCTATTTCTTCTCTTCCTTCTGCTGGGCACAAACGGGAGGAGTCTGACTCCATCTCCATCTTCTCTGCAACCCTATCAGGTAGCTGAAGGCAGCGTGTAGGTTCCCATTTGCTCTCCTCTTTCTGGGCTGAGCAGGCTCTCCTTGTGCACCCTGCACCAGCTCAGAGTTGGGAATGGGGGTCCTAGCACAACCCTGCCTTCCATGCCCGCAGAGGTGGAGAGCTGAGACCCACATGGCTTCAGTGGTGACCCCAAGGCTCACTGTCTAGTTTCTCTGAGCAAATGCTATCCCTGATCTGTGAGTCTTTCTGCTTTGCATTGCTCTTGGCCTCCTGGGGTGCTTCAGAGCTGGTGTTTGCACTCTGTAAAAAGGGGGCTTGCGCTGGGGATGGGAGGTACCTCCAGATGATGAATAGCCCTGATGGGGTTTCCTTGCAGAAGGAAGAGAAGCCCCCCGTGGTGTCCGTGTCCACTGTGGACTACGGCGTGCTGGAGTTTCAGCGGGGCCAGCACTCCCCGGTGCACCCCGAGGCCCGGCTGGCTGACCAGACCGAATACGCCACCATCGTCTTCCCGGAGGAGAAACCCGTCACGCCGGAGCGCGGGAAGAGACACCAGGACGAGAGGATTCGGCAGCTGCAGTCACAGCCCTGCTGAGGGCCGGGGTCCCTCCTCGTTGGGGTCCCTCCTCGCTGGGGGCTGTGAGCAGGGACAGGCTGCCTCGGCCCCTCGCTTCCACCGCAGTCCGCAGGTGGGAAAAATCCAGCGTGCCGGGGCTAGTGACAGAGGTGCTGCTGCTGGAGTTGATGCTGGACAGTCCTGGTGACAGTGGGATCATGGCTGTGAGATGGGTACCACAGGATGAAGAAGGTCCTTGCTGTGTTCCACGTGCTGCCTCGTCACTTGTAGCGGTGTGCATGGGCTGGGAAAAGCAACAATGGCAACAGGGCTGTCCCAAAGGCCATTTACGTCATACCTCGGTTTTCTACCACCACCCGGGGCTCTCTGGAGCAGCCACACTGCTTCCCTCACCCAGGTCTGACCCGACTGTGGGAGAAAACACTGGAGGACAGAGCTGGAGTGGGTCCTGAGAGATGCTGCTCACGGGACCCTGGGGTGAGGGTTCTCCTCACCAAGGGCAGAGACTGCTTTGTGTTCCACTCTTTCTACAGGTGGGAGCTGGATCTGGCCCTGGGGGGTGAATAAAGGTTTTAGTGCCCGAGGAGTTTGTTGCCTCGCACTGGGAGGCGCGTGGGCAGGCAGCTAACGGCTCTCGGCAGCGCACAGGCAGCGGGGAGGGAGCAGTGGCTCTCGTGGTTCCTGGGCCTCTCCGTGCAATACGGAAGCTGTTTTGCCACAAAGCTGCTCTTAATAATTCAGGGAGGCTGCTGCTCTTTTTCCTCTTGCCACTGTCTGAGCCGGTCACCCATGTGCGGCTGCAAACCAAGCTCCCCCCGCCTTGCCAGGCTCACCGCAGGGCGCCTGCCCAGCCCATTGGGGGTGTGCATCCCTGCCATGCCAGGTGGGCAAAGCTCGCAGCGTGGTGCTCAGTGTAGCTTTCTGGCTCCAAAGTTTCATTCTCCCTCTTGAAAGTGATGATGGGGCCATGCTGCCTGCCAGAAACCAGAATAAAAAGAAGTGACTACTGCTCGAAAGGGAAGAAACCCCAGCAAGGATTGGCTTTGGAGGCAGCAAAAACTTCCCAAGAGACCATGAAACCCAGTGGAAACAGAGAAGAGTCACTTACATCTCATTCTTTGGTGTCACTGTCAGCAGTTTTCTTTTACCCCCAGTAAGACCAGAGCAGCCTTGCATGAGCCATCCTGGGCACTGAGGAAGGGGGTGAGGCATGCCAGGCACTGCACTTTGTCCACTGTGGGGGCTGGAAAGCCCTTGAGAGACCTCCAGAAGGTACCAGATGGGAAGAAACTCAATCTGGGATTGCTTTCACTCTATTTCACGGCAGGAGAGTGGAAGTGGTGGCCTCCTCCAGTCCCTGGTGCCTCTGAAGGATCCAAATAGATGCCACAGGCAGTGCTGTAACTCCCACAACGTTCATGCGCCCCAAGGGCTCAGGCTGTCCGGGCTTTTGGCAAGCAGCAGCCCCGCTCTGTGCCCCGGCAGAGACCTGCTGTGGTTGGCCAGGCTCGGCTCAGCCGGAAAGCCAGGGCGGCAGGCAGCCGCAGCGGGTGAGGAGCAGCTCAGTCAGCAGTTTTGCTTTTGGCTTTCCCATCAGCCGTGACACCGGGGAGAGGGTGGGCCCTGCGTCGTATTCACCATCCTGCCTCTTGGGCTGCAGAGGTGCTGGGTCTTCAGGCCTTCCTGCACCCCCCAGCTGCAGCCAGGGCACCTCCAGGAGCAGCTGGGGCTGGGTCCATTCTGCTCTCAGGGGAAGGTGGCCTGCAGCTGGCCAGACCCTCCTAGGCCATCTGGTGAAGTCGGAGAGGTAGCAAAAGCATCTTCTGCTGCCATTTGGGATAGGACAGCACCCAGCCTTTTGCAGTGCCTGTGCCCCTCTGACCCCCCAGCAGCACGGCTGCAATCCTGTCCCTTGCAGGGAGCAAGGCTGGGGCCTGGGCATGTGTGGCGTGCATGGTGGGGATGATCCAGGCTGCCAGACACCATTTCCTGTCCCTGTTTGGAGGACAGCATGCCCAGCACTGCCAGGGGCCTAGGCTGTGCTCCCCTGTGCTGAGCATGGCACTGGCTGTGTCAGCCAGAGCAGGAACAGGGCTGGGATGAGCTCTGGGTGGAATTCAGGTTTCAAGCTCCCAACAGAGCATCCCTGAACCAAGCAGTGCCCAGAGATGGGTGTCAGCCCCCAAGCCCCAGCATCCTGCTTGGGGGTGGGGAGCTGAGCATGTTCAAGTGTAGGAGCTGCTCTTGTCTTTCCATGTGAGCCACGAAAGCAGCCACCCACGGTTTTGACTCTCTCTCCAGCGTGGTGATAACCAGTCTTCCTGGAGTCACTTTCTGGAGGAAGCTGTTTTACCCTCCATCCTGAGAAGTACCCAGCTGCGGCTTTCCCAGCTCCACCATCCCACATCCCTCCTTCCCCTGCACCTCACTCTGTGTCACAGCCCCCCTGCTTTTGCCCACCACTGCACCCACACCAGCCGTCTGCCCACCTTTTGCACCAACTGGCAGGTTCATGACTGTTTTCTCCACTTCAAATTAAGCAGCGACCCAAGGAAGCTAATTTCCACCTACAATGCTAGGGTTTGCATCAGGTTTTCTGGGGAGGCTGAGTGGGAAGTCCTTTGGCTTTCCCTGCCTGCATCAAGAGGCCGGGCTGTGATGGGCCTGGTATGGTTTTGGGGTGCATCCTTTCTGGCACTGCTTCTTTGCTGGCTCTGGAGGGCTGTGGGTGGCAGGGTTTCAGCAGTCTTTGATTTGGACTGTGGAGGGCAGGTTTGCTGCAGAGTGCTTAGGCAGACCCTACCACCTGGCTCTGTTTTTCGACCTCACTGCCAGCAGCATTGCAGTCACTGTGGCTAACCCCCAACACAATAACAGCAGGACCCCAACCTGGTCCTCAGCTTCCCATCTTGGGAAAACTGAGGCTTGCAGCAGTGCAAGCAGGAGAACGAGGTCCTGTGAAATTAAATCGGACCCAGACATGTCTGTTCTGTGCTCTCAGGATGTGCTATTGCTGAGAATGACTCCTGAAAGGCTGGAGGGACAGGGCAGAGGTTTGGGTCTGCTCACCTCATTCCTACCAGCATTCTGACGCGAATGATGGAGGATGCTCCCGACAGCCCCTTCCCCTGTGCTTTGTGCTTCACAGACTGGAGGGATTCCAATTTGTTTTTCACTGTATCATCCCAGAGCCAGCAACCCCAGCCCGGCCGTGCACACGCAAATGGGCACACAAGTCCCCACGCAAAGTTGCGTGCACTCCCCAGATCTGCACAGCCAAACAGACGCACACCCCTGCAGATGCCCCACGCCCCGGCGACCCCACACGTGTGCTGCAGCTCCTCCCTTGCTGGGGGCCAGGGGCAGCCGCGGGGGGGGGCTGTGGAGGCTGTGGGGGCTGTGGGTGCTATAGGGGCTGTGGGTACTGTGCTTCCTGCATGCTCTGGTCTAGCAGTTAGAGAACCGCTTCCGACCGCGGGCACCCAGCGCTTCCCCGGGAGCACCCACTGCCAGCGGTGACAGAACGCTCTGGCCGCCCCCGGGACCACATGCCAGCGGGGACCCCTACAGAGATGCCTGAAAGCCAGCCTGGCTCCTTATACACCCCAGCCTTGATTAAAGGTGGTTGGGAACAACACGTGAGCAAGAATCCCTTAGAGAAACTGGAACCCAGAACTCGGGTCTCAAGAAAGCTGGGCAGGCCAATGAAGATGGAGAGGAAGTCCTCTCCTGCTCCTTGTTGCAGCATCTTTGAGAAGAGCCATGCTATGGAGGAGCAAAGCACCATTCCTGCAAACTGGGACACTGCAGATGCCAGAGGGAGAAGGGGTGGTCAGGTCAGGTGGCAGTAAGGTCACTCACAAATAAGCACTGTCCTGTTCACTGAGATGTCTCAGAGCCGTGTTTCATGTTGGAGGAGGTTGGGCTGGAGGTGTCACAGAAGGGTGTGGGCATTATTTGGCCCCTTGGTTAACTGAGTGATCTGCAGGTGGGATTGGTCTGTTGGGCACTATGGTGTGGGAGCATTGCAATGACCTTAACTCTGGATTGTTGGTTGTGGAAGACATAGTCTGGAGTGAGATGGTGGGTGCTGTGGTTGGTAGTGGAAGGTATAGGCTACTGGGCAGGTTTTCTGGACCCCTAACTATGACCAGCTTGCATGGCCATGTTGTGTCCTGAGAGGTCCAGTTCTGTAGCATCTCCTCTGTCCTGTCCAACTGACAGCTTTGTCCTGACTCTCATGAAGCCTGCTGTAGGCTTGCACAACATCTGTGTTTCCTCCTACATTTTGCTTTCTCTAGTTTTGCTTTGAGTTGGCTCCAGGGTTTCTCCTTTCTCTTCCTCCCTTTGACAGGATGTGCTGCTTGAGGAGGATACTGGCAGGGCATGGGGGCTCAGGGGGCCAGGCAGGCCAAAGCTATGTGGGTTGCTACCTGCCCACATCTTCACATCCATCTCCTCCCTTAAATCTCTCCCAATTGCTCAGCACCCCACTCCATCCCAGGGTGATGGAGCAATGTTCTCTCTCTACAGTTCAGCTTGGGCACAGCCCCATTTCCAGAGGATCTGATCTGCCTTGCCTCAAATCCACCCTGGGCCAAGTAGAGCACTCTACTCCAAGGGCTTGACTATGAAGACGGTCCAGCCTGGAAGAGAACCTCTAGCCATTGCTTGTCCTTAGAGGTGGTGGGGTTTACTGTGACAGAGCGACAATCATTCACCATCAACAGTGGCAAGGTCAGAGGGGACAGGTGCACACAAGAGCTGGCATGGAGCTGCGTGCCAGGAGGATATGGATGCCCAATTCACCATCTGCTTCAAGGAAGGGTTAAAAAGGGAATCCAGGAAACTCTAGATGAGTGAGCCTGCCTCTGTACCCAGAGAACTGCTGGAACAAATTAGTAAGGCCACCAAGCGCTGAACACCAAGAGAACACAGGTTTAGAAAGAGCACGTATCAGACCAGCCTCATTTTCTCCCCATTAGGGCGATGGACTGGCTGCGGCAGGGAAAGCAGAAGTAATGCTGGCTTTGTGCTGCCTTACGTGACATTTTCATAAGCAAATTAGGGAAATGGGAAATTCTGCCACTGTGGGTGGATGGCTACCCAAGAAGCTATGTCCCGTGAGCACATGGTGGCAGAGACATCAAGCAGGGGTTTTCTGGGGTAGCGTGGCTCAAACAAAGGGACTATACCATTGAGGGAGGTATAGGGGCCATCTGGGAGGAGGGTTAGATATCCAAGTCACCTTGATGACCTGGAGAAAAGAGCAAAAATACCCTGAAAGAATGACTGATAGAAAGGAACTGGGCATGTTTAGGGCAGCAAAAAATGAGGGATGTCTTCAGAGTGGGAAAAGATCCCTGGTATGATGCAAGCAGTTGAAGACAGAGAAGTGGTTAAGGGTTATGCCTCATTGTTCCGATGGCAGCCCATCTATCTTGCGCGCCTTGCTGTGCCTGGACACAGCATCTCCAGTTTGAGGGGATGTCTGGCTCTGTGGTCCTGTGTGGGGACTGGGGCTGAATGTCCTTTTCTACCCTTCCTGGGAACTGCTGGCAGGATGGAGCCACCTGGGTATGGGGTGACCCCAAAGGGAAGGGATGAATGTCCCAGAAGGGATGTGGCACGTGGGCTAACCAATGTCCTCATGGGCACTGTGTCCCTGGGCTGGAGGGGTGGGGGACTTGGAATCTGACACACAGCGAGAGGTGGAGAGGAGGAGAAAGAACTTTGGGAAACCTTCCTCTGGCTTGGGTGGCTCGCCTTGGGGTGGGAGCTGATGTCAAAAATTTCAGGCTGTGAGAAAGTGTCAGGGAAATTACCACCTGGGCTGCGTCTTGTGCTTGGCTCCTCCACACATCCCGTGGAGGATCCACGACTGGTGTGCTGGGATGGAGAGGATTGGCAGGGGCTGTCCCCAGCAGGGGCCGGCCAGCCCAGTGGGACCATGCTGGGGCTGGGACGGGGCTGGTCCCAGTCCCCGCTGAGGCTGGGCTGCGGGGGACCTGCAGGAGCAGGCTCTGTTCCAGGCGGGTGCTGGTAAGCAGCGAGGTGCTCGGGCAGCGCTGGGAGGGAGCCGTGTGCGAAGTGGAACAGGACGTCAAAGCAGTTTCAGCTCTGTGGGTGGTTCTGTGAAAGTCCCTTTAGCAAAAGCAAGTCAAAGGCTTTAATAGAGGGACCAGCACTGGGCTCCTTCTCAGAGATGACTCCAAGGGCTCGGCACATCGTGAGTTGTGATTTGAGTTGTGTTGCCATGACGTAAGAAGGGGCTGGTTTCCATCACAGCTGGGGTTTGGAGGCAGGGACCCATCCCTCCACCAGAGGTGCCGCTGGATCGCCATTGACCAACGTGCCTGAGGGACAGTGTTTTGTCCCCTGGGCAGGGTGGGGAGCAGTGCCTGCCCCATGGGGAACGTCCCTCCACCCTGCAGCAGCAGCCTCGCAGAGGAAGAGCTGGGCTGAAACCACAGATCCCCCAGATGAAGCGACTGGTTTGTTTGGGTGAATATGAGAGTGCCAGGAGAGAGAGCTGCCTCCCCAGGGGCCTTCCCCTCCTCAAAACAGCCTGGGCTGTTTAACACAGGTATGGCTGCCCTAAAAGTAAAGGGCAAAAGCATTTAGGATTTTCCTGCCTTCAGCCTCCCCAAGGGTAAATCTCAGCCCCTGACACAGATGCATTAAAGGGGACAGGCAGATACTGCAGGGTGGGTGGCCCTATCCCGGTCACCCTGCTGCTGGTGGCTCCCCATGTCATGCCAGGTCCCAGTGCTGCCAGGCACTGCATGGTGCCAGCTGTGATGCCAGCCCTGCTCCTCCTTGGCTTCCACTTCCCACACTGTGAGATTTGCAGCCCTGGAGACCCCTCTGTGACAGGGTGTACAAAGGGATCTTCTATAATGAACCCATAGAAATGAGGACCCTGTGCTCTAGGAGAGGAATGGGAGGGGAGCCAGGGAGACCTACTGCCTCTTCTCTTCCTCCCCACACACCAGACTGGAGCTGGGGTTGTCCCCTGGTCCCCACCTGCAGGCATCCAAAATGCTGGTGTGATGACCTCTCCTTCACTGTCCTGCTTGTAGGTCACTGCCCCAGCCCAAGCAGGATCCTGTGTCCCCATGTCTCTTGGACAGGGTGGGGTGACAGGTCTTATTCACTGGCTAGGGCTTTGCTGACTCTCCATAAGGATCCTGAAGACCTTGGTTTGGCTTCTCTGCTGCCAGGAAACATCCTTTCCCTCCTAGTCCTGCTCCAGATCGCAGGAGGTGGAAGAACCTCCAAAAAGGGAAGAACATCAAAGCTGAAGATGGGCTTTGCCCCAGGACCTCATCACCTCCCTCTGCTCTCACAGAAGGGGCAGCCCGCATTGTGAAGTTGCTGGAGGGCTCTCGGTATGAATGACTCGCTGGCTTTTCCCTTCCAGCATCACAGATCAGAGGCTCCCTGTTGTCACTGGGACTTATCTACATCACCTGCATCCCTTTTGGGATCTGGAGGATGAGACTGATGGACTGGTGCCTTGTAAGACTGCTGTCACTTACTGCTGGCAGCCACCATGCCCTTCTTGTGAGGCCATGTGTACTGTCACCTAGATCCTCAGCAATCCTGAAGACTCAGCTGGCTACAGAGCAGGGCCAGCCACTGGCCCTGCTGCCTGGGGCACCCAGCTTTTGGAGCATCCCATCCACTGCCATGGGGACATATTTCTTTTGAAACCAGTGTTAAGCATTTTGGGCTTGATTCCTAAATCCTTCTGCCCTTTTTTTTTAAACAGAGATCTGTCCTACCATGAGCTTTTATATCCTACAGTCTTTGTGTGAACCCCCATGCTTCTGGCAGCCTGAACGCTGCTCTGGGCACTTAACACGAGGAGCTGCCATACTTTTCCATGGTGGCTTCATCCTTAGCAGCCACCCAGTATATTTTATCCAAGGCCAGGCGTTCTGAGGCATTTTATGGCCTCGTTCTGTGCACAGGATGGTGTCCTCTGAAAGCTTCACGCTAAATGAGGTGGTTTTATTTCCATGTCAACCCGAGCTTGCTTTATGAAGCTGCATATCTTCCCCTCACTCAAGAGCAGGTATCATTTGGCATCTTGTCTAACCTGCTCCCCATCCTGCATTGCATCTTCATGGGATGTCTTGGGGGACCTGGACACCTGGACAGGGGTGAGCTGGGGAGAAGAGGGCTGCAGAGGGCTGCAGAGGGCTGCAGAGGGCTGCAGAGGCCTGCAGGCAGCTACAGCCCCACTGTTTGCACCTTCCCTGGGTGCTCTCAGCTCAGAGCACACCTCACCTCTTTCGGTTTTACGTGCGGTGCCGTCCTTCTCGACTTTCCACCCTGTGGTTTCAGGTCAGATCTTGTTCTGCTCAAGTGGCTGAAAGTTGTTGCAAACAGCCCGTGCTTGGTGGCAGCTATCAAGAGAGATAAGACTACCTGGGGCCTTATCACCTGCCGAGTCCTGCGTTTTCAGTGGGTTTTGCTTCCGTTATGACTATGCTGAGCACAATCTCTGCTGGTTCGCCCCAGCTGCTATGAGAGCGATGGGCACTGGCAGCCTGGCAGGGGCTTTTGTTTCCCGCCTCTCTGTCTACATCACTTCAGCAGAGTTCGGGGGGTTCATGTGTTGGGCTTGGGGAAACCTACTTTGTCCTTGATTTGGAGGAGATTTCGCCTGGCAAGGACCTGGTGTGTCTCAGTGGAGCCTGTTGCTATAGGGATTGGGATGGGCGGTGCTGCTCATGTGGGAGCAAAGGTTCCTCTCTCCAAGCACACAGACGTCGTGCAAAGAGGAGTTCTGGAAAAAAGACAGTTGCACACATGCACCAGCACTCAAAAAGCTGCAAGCTTGACCCACAAGCCTGATCATTGCCTCTTCCCCAGCTCCCGGTGGGACCATGAGGACCTGGCAGGACATTTTTGCAGAGATTGCAAATATGCGCTTAACAGAGCCATGGACACTTCACCAGGATGACACCCTTCAAGTCCACGTCCTCAAGCCTGGCTGGAAGGAGTTTGTGCCGCACCGTGCTCCTGGGAGGTAGGGGACTGCCAGCCCGGTCCCTGTCAGAGCAGGACCAGGGGTGATGGGCTGCCATGGGGACCTTCCGCTTTCTCAGAGTTTGCTTGTAGGAAACAACTTTTGACACGAAAGGGACAGTCTGGAAGTGGGTGAGGCTGGGAGGGATTTTCCCATTTTCTTCAAGGCTTGATGGATTATTGCCAAACTAGAAGAAAATCACAAAAATTGGAGGGCGAGGGGAGTGTGGCAGCTCCACAGGGATGAAAGGCAGCTGGTGTTTGGCCTGAATTTCTCCATGTTGGTGTCAAGATACAAAGAGGTCCTCCAGTGAGGAGGGGTAGTTATACTGCACTAGAGCCTGATCTTCTGAGTTTGCACCCAGAGGATGAGGAGGGGAAGAGCCGCTGTCTGCTGGCACATGGGGCTGTGCCTCAGGCTGCGGGGTCTAGAGCAGAGAGAGGCTGCTGCTCTGCATTGCTGATGAGAGGCCCTATTCCAACCATTTCCATCCCAGGCAGGACCCTGGGCATCAACCAGACACCCTGCCTGGGTGACAGCAAACAGACACCTTGCCTGCTGGCCCCCATGCAGATTATGCAAGACAAAGAGCTGTGGGTTACACACCTTTCCATTCTTCAAGACATGTCCTCACCTGCCCTGCAGCCTGCTCCCACACCTTCCTTCTATTTTTCTTCTTTATTTGACTTGCCTGGCTTTGGGCTTGATGTTGGCTTTCTGCTGAGCTGTGAAGAGCTGGTGCAGGCAAGGGACTGGAGCCTCCCATAGACCTGTAACTGGATGCTTCCCACCCCAAGGACCCCTGCTTCTGGCACTGGGGCCAGGGTGGGCTAGGAAAGGGGACCAGGGTGGTTCCACAAGGCAGCCTGGGTGCTAAAATCTTTAATGCTGGGGCCAGCCCTGAGCTCACATCTCTGTTGAACTCCCCAAACTGGCATAAAGCTGTTAGCAGGGGGACAGTTTGGGGTAAAGCTTGCATGAATAAGTTAACCCACCATTCCTGGCTGCCCTGGTCCCTGCTGACTGCGCGGAAAGCTGCCGGCTCAACATGGAGCCTGGGATGAGCTGGTCTCCTTTGTGCCTTGACAGGTTTCAGTGCTCCCAGTGCTTTCATGAGTGGTCTTCAGCCAAAGTGCATGTCCTGTTCCACATGTGCCGGGGCCGGGGCTAGGGCACGGTGTGGATGCGAGCCTTTCGCCAGGCATGCAGACGGTGCTCCGACCCTCGGCTGGAGGAACCCGATTTCAGCCAGGACACTATGGAGAAGCTTCTGCACAACCTGGTGCTAAAGATCCTCAAGTACTTCTACCATGTACCCATCCAGGCCTCTGACCTCCTGGAAGTCGTGGTGGATGTGGTGGTGTCAGGGCCGCACGACAGCGCCCGCTGCGAGGGCTGCCAGCTCGGCGTGTGCAGCAGAGCACGGCTGGCCCAGCAGCCCTCGATGGATGTGGACAAGGCTAGGTCATCTCACACCCCGAAACGTTGGGGCACAAGGTCCCGGGTGACCCCGAGTTGCGACCGCTCGCCCGGCAATAGCACCTTCTCCTGGAAACGCTGGTGCTGCATCGGCAGCTCTTTGCTCTGTGCTTTGGCAGTGCTCCTCTTCCTCCTGCTTTATTTCACCAAGTATTAGTGGAATCTGGGGATTGCAGAGAGGGACTGAGGTGGCAGCTAGGGGATCTGATGGGGAGCCTGCAAAATTGGGTGCCCAAGGTCAGCCCGTGGCAGAGAGAGGCCTCCCCAGCTCCTGGGGGCACAGGGACATGTTGGGGTGCCTCAGCCACATACATTGTCTCACAGCCTCAGGGATCCTGGTGCATCTGATGGTTTCTTACAGGACATGTTCTGACTGAAGACGACCCTAGCTGTCCCATGCAAAGGATGAGAGTACTTATGTGAATAAACCAAATGCTTTTTCCTCAGCCAAAGGATGTGTTTGTGCTTTTTAATTTCTCCAAAGCTTTTTCTAGGCAGGTGTGAGCAGTTCAGAGGGAAGCTGGGAGCTGCCTTTATCCACCAGCTGGGCTCAGCTTCCAGGGACACACATCCCCATTCTCCCCTGCCTTTGGCCTTGGTGGAACTGGGCACCCAAAGCAGCTGAGGGGCACCTTAAGCAGGAGGTTTGCAGCAAAGTCATGGGGAGCTGGTGCCATTTGGACACCTGCACTGCCTCTTGTGAGATGTGCACCACAGCTTCTGCTCTGGCCTCATGCACTGGTGGATGTCGTTTTTGTCACCAAGGGCCCAGAGGTTGCTTTGTCCTCCAGAAACATCTGGGTGCTGAGGTTTTGCAAGGGGACTCTTTATCAGCAAGTGTAGTGACAGGGTGAAGGCTAAAAGTTTTTAAATGAAAGATGATTGATTTAGATGAGATATTAAGAAGAAATTCTTTATTGTGAGTGTGGTGGGACTCTGGAACAGGTTGCCCAAAGAGG